CCAATCTSAGAGATTAGCTCTGCTTGTGAGACATGTCACGGGACCAAAGCTGCCACTGGCTATGATCAGAGCTGACAGTTCTCACCATTTCTGGAGATGAGCTGCTAGCCCACAAGCCTGACAAACAGCACTGGACATACAGGGAAGGCTCTTATTTGACTTTTCTGCATCTCCCTTTTCCATATATCTACTTGGGATTCTGACACAAACTCGTAAAGCTTTGAGTTTTCACACTGCAGCATGCTACCTACATGCTAGATTTTTTCTTAATTTTTATTAATTTTCTTAATTATTAAAATCTATTCTTCAAAATAAATTTAGACAAAACAGAAATAACGTTAAGCAGCAGATAGAACACCATCCTTGCTATGGTACCAATATAGTTGTAAGTAGTAAATCACACTAGTGTCTTTCAAAGATGCCAAAGTATGAAAAATATAAATTCTGTACTTGTCTACTTCCATTCCCACATAAGAGCAACCTATTTTTAAAGAAGTAAAATTTAAAAACAAGATTAATGCAGTATGAAAGTAAAAATGTTAATGCGAACTTTAATCCTCATGTGGAAAAATAAACATGCATCTATCAACTAGTTAACACATTCCTCTATAGCTCCCAAATAAATGTCAGAAAAAGAGAGTTAATATTTCTTTCCTAAATGACTAACGATCTTCAAGTCAAATCTGGCATTTTAAGCTCTGAAGCAAAAGAATCATAATTGCATCTACAAGTATAATTTTACCTTTTTTTTCCAGCACGCTTAACCTATTTATGACTTTACTCAATACGCCTTGTATGACTTGAATAGTGCTTTCAGCTCAACAACATCTCATGGGCTGCAGCAACCGAATGTAAAAAGCAAAAGAATCTTTACTTCTTGCCATAACACAAGGAAGAACAGAATCACAGCATGGTTGGGTTTGGACRGGACCTCTAGAGATCATCTAGTCCAACCCTCCTGCTCCAGCAGGGACACCCAGAGCACGGGGCACAGGGCGGCATCCAGGCGGGTTGGGAAGAYCTCCAGRGAAGGAGACTCCACAGCCTCCCTGGGCAGCCTGTGCCAGGGCTCTGGCACCCTCACAGKAAAGAAGTTCTGCCTCACCTGGAGATGGAACTGCCTGCGTTTCAATTTACACTCTAAAACTAGAAACTTATCTGATGAAACTCTTGTCTAATCCACTTCCATTCTCTGTAGCATTCTCCTTTTCCACACTCTTATTTCACAAAGCAAAATGACTTTGAACTTCCGAAAGCAAACAAAAGTATTAAAAAATGTGTACAAAGAACACCCCTCCTCCTACTTTATACTGTTTATTACAGCATTTAGGGAAATGCAAAGTTTTTGTCAATTTGAATCCAGAAGCAGTTGCTAATGTTGCATGCACAAACACTGCTCAAAAGAAATCTCTGGGACCAATCAATGCGTATCCAAAGTAACTATACTTGCAACTTCTGCTGAATTTGCCTTTTTTTATTGCCTAAGTGACCAGAAATACAACTGCATTAAATACAAAATAATATTACCACAAGCTAATATACCAGCATTGAACATAAATAGGGTTCATTATGTACAAGTATTACTATTTTGACTGTGACATGCAGTTCACGGTGTATGCACTTATTTTTCTTTGTATGCTGCACTTATTTTTCTAAACTGCAAACCAGAGTTGTATTTTCTGTGTTCGATTCCCCTGTTCCCTGTGTTCCCCWTTACTGTTGCTTGACATAGTGATTCATATTCAAACAAATATATTTTAAGTCCTTCAGACACTAGGACTCTGTTGAGATGCCAGGAAGCTGACAAACTCCTGTACAGGCCTGCAAAAAGGGAACACAATCCTTGAGGCTGCCAAGTCTTTGTCATCACATCATCATCATCTGGCCAGATCAYATCGTAGACAGCCCATGCTAAACCAGGAAATTCACCCTATGTGTTAGCCAAAGCAAATGTTAAAACATATCAACCACTAAAAACAATATAATCGCTACTTAAAAAGGAGCAATTTCACTCCAGCACATCACATATTTAAATCTGCAAACCACTTTAGTAGATGAATCTTAATATCATTCATTTTGTGTAAATTACCATAACTCTTTCTGAAATGTGCTCTGTGTAGCCCCTCAAGTTATCCAACATATTCGTATGAGATAAGGATCACAGACCGAAGCTGTCCCTAATTTTCAGAAAGATGCTTAACAGCTAATTGATATATTGCATCCATAAAACCTAAGGCTCAGATGAGAAAAAAAATAAAAGAGATTATTGCCTTTTTAGAACAGAGAAAGACGAAGTGAGTATAGGTTTCAAAAAAGATTGGAGATGTTTGGCCAAGGGGCTAGTTATAGTTAGCTTAAATTGGTGCCAAGTAAAAGGAAAAAGAAAAGAAAAGGAATCAGTTTGTAGGGAAGTCATCTCTCCCTGTCAGGGACGCCTACTTCAGCAGCCATAAGAAACAACCACCCCTGACCAGAGGCAACAACTGAGACAGCACAACCTCACAAACTTGAGCAGGCTCCGCGGCACTCGCAGCACCAAGCGAGGGCACCGACCGGCCGTGCGCAGGCTGACATGGAGCGCAGGCCGACGTGGAGCTCACACCCACAAGGAGCTCAGGCCCACACAGTGCTCAGGCCCACACGGAGCACAGGCCGACACGGAGCTCAGACCCACACGGTGCTCAGGCCCACACGGAGCACAGGCCGACACGGAGCTCAGACCCACACGGAGTACAGGCCCACACGGAGCACAGGCCCACACTGAGCACAGGCCGACATGGAGCTCAGACCCACACGGAGCACAGGCCCACACGGAGCATGGGCCGACATGGAGCTCACACCCACACGGTGCTCAGGCCCACACGGAGCACAGGCTGACACGGAGCTCAGACCCACACAGAGCACAGGCCCACACGGAGCACAGGCCCACACGGAGCACAGGCCGACAYGGAGCTCAGACCCACACGGTGCTCAGGCCCACACGGAGCACAGGCTCACACGGAGCTCAGACCCACACGGAGCTCAGACCCACACGGAGCACAGGCCCACACGGAGCACAGGCCCACACGGAGCACAGGCCCACACGGAGCATGGGCTGACATGGAGCTCACACCCACACGGTGCTCAGGCCCACACGGAGCACAGGCTGACACGGAGCTCAGACCCACACAGAGCACAGGCCCACATGGAGCACAGGCCCACACGG